GAATCCCCACGAAATTGTCACGCCTCTACATACCTCCTATATCTACGTACACTTTAATTCCAATAAAATCTTCCATCCAATTCACCCATAGCTTTCACTGTCCATAATAACAACGTACGCTTAGGATACGTGCGCAAGATTTAACATACGCTGTTACCAAGCCTGCCGTACCACCCGAAGATGGTTCTACCATAAGAATCAATAGCCACCTTCGTACAGTACAACTGTCCCTTATAACCCTACACGTCCTTTCCTTACACCATAGATACACGTTATTCCTACCAGATTCAATCCTTGTCCGCGAAGATTATACGAGTCCCCATTGTTCCATACATTTAGTATACGGTTTGTCACGATTTCGTCCTATCAGATCCTGACTCGCATGACGCTCCGAGATAAGAACTGCCAAGTGTACCCACTGCCTCCTTGGGACGCGCAAGCATAACAGAGGCGACTCGCCGGCACATTTACCTCGGCCAATAATTACTCCGTTAACTTTCCACCAGGCTGTTACACTAGCGTTTATATAATTATGGCAACGAGCTGATTCCACGCCCGTTTCTCGCGCTGTACGAACGCAAATTGCCCGGCAGAAATCCTCGCGCCTCTTTTACCGATCCCGACGTCTTGATACGCCGACGATCGTACTGTCGTTAATTACACTTTTAATAATGCATAGGAACGGCTCAACGTATATAACACGCGACGTCGCGCATCGGCACGCGAGTCCATCGACTGTTAATATTTGTTTTCAATGATTAGTAGTCATCTTCATTATACGTTATTTATATAATAATCGGGAGGATTAAACTCTTTTTTTTTTTTTTTTTCGTTTTTTCGAAACGATAAAAAAACCGTGATGCCAATGACACGGAACGTCAATAACAGTGATACGAGACTATGCGCGTGAGATTGGAATCTGTTTGAAAATTTTTTATCACGATAAAGATATCACGTGGAGTCGAAGGTAAGTAATTTTTTTTTATTAGTTTTTCAAAAGGTAATATTTTTATATGTGGTTCTGGACTAGTTTGAATTGTATATTATGTAAATATATATTTCTTTTTAATTCTTGGTCATGTTTGTTAATTTATTATTACCTGCGAGGGAACGAGCTGACGGGCGACTCGTTATAGAAGTAAAATTACTCGTGTAATTTTATGTTACGCAAGGCGAACAGATTCACAGAAGGGTGCTGGCACGCATCGACTGCGGGTCTCCCGTGGAAAATTGCCCGGCGGCGTGCGTAACGCATCGCGAGTCGGAGAAATACGAAAATCAACGTGAACGAGGGAAACGCTGCTTGGCTATTGAGGTTCGCGCTTTTACTGCACGCTAGTCTCATTGTAATTACCGGATGCACGCGAGTCTAATTTAATTTATTTTATACGTCCGACGTGTGCTTATCCATATATATCACTGTTTCGTTACCATTTGACATTGCGTATTGTGATTCTACATATTTACTACGATTTCGAGCAAAATACAAACGCCCATAATGTTATTGACAATATCAATTGAAAAAAAAAAAAAAAAAAAAAAAAAAAAAAAAAAAAAAAAATGAAAGATACCAGAATCAATGAAAACAACGTAAATTCGAAGAAACGCAACTGCAAGTTTTAATTGCTCGACGATCATTATCGGTCATGTATACGACTATATATATATATATATATCATATATATCGACTGTACATGTATACGATATAAATCCACGTTTACATATAACATATATGATAAGGGGTATAACAGGGTAAAACACCCCCAACACACGAACCTCCCAGACCAACATCAGACCCAGCATTGGCTATCCAGGTGTAAAAATAATACAAGGTAGAAAGTCAAAAAGCGTTGATTAGGTTTTATTAAATTTTTCATGAATTCCCCCCACAATCGAATCCGCCCTCTTAGCTAGTTTACAGGAGAAACTCAGCCATTATCTCAATCTATGGCAAGAATATTATTGTGTTATTTCCATATTTAGATCTAGAGCCCTTATGCATTCACCACGTGATCGGGACTCTCTAGGTTGAAAAAAAAAAAGAAGGAAAAATTCCATAATGTCTGACTGTTCGAACCAAAGCTTCGACACCCTCCATACTTTTTTCCTGTTTCACCTCAACTCACGTACACACCCTCGTAACCCATAGGCAACGTGCCACCGGCACGCACTTATGGCAATTATACAATGTACGTAATATACACATACGAAAACGAAGCTAGCAATACCAAGCCCAGTGCTGTAGGCATTCCCTTCTCTCTCCCTGTTCCTCCTTTCCAAGCACTTATTATGGAATTGCGTGCTCGGCCGAGCGACGGGCACGAGGCTCCCCCAGTCGCGGGAGCCATTTTGCTGTCCACTGCGCGGAGACAACAACGACGTCTTATGCACCTTGCAATGAGATTCTCCACTTAACGTTCTAAGAAATACGTACGTAACCAGCTACGCCCGCGTACGTCCTCCGTCTCCCTCGCTCTCGCGCTCCGACTCGCCGTCTCGCCTTCTTCGTTTACACTTTGTTCTTAGAGTAAAAAGAAGAGAAAAGAAAAGAAGGTCTCGTTGACTCGAGATACGCCGAGTGCCCGCGCACTCGGGAACACTAACGCGAGGGAACACTAACTCTTGCCGTGTTCAAATTGGTCTAACCAACATAATTATTACACGTATAATTTCATTAGCTCATATCTACTTGAATTACCCAGCATTCGCCGCTCTCGCGCATTTCATTCGTTTAGCTGCGAGTCGCGCTACGCGCCAACTGAATTTCGTCCTGTTGCCGCACTGCGAGGTCCGGTCAATCCGGTCGCGCTAATGCAAACCGCTCGGCGTTATTAGACGTCGACACCATTTACTATACCGTGTTTACGAGGCTTCCGCGTGCGCAGGTGAATAATTGCCGGTGACAGAAAACGACACCAATATTTTGCCGTGACATTATAACCATTGGGTAATTGATATTTAATCGTGTACACAGATATGCGGAGTGATGGAAAAAAAAAATTTACTCAAATAGTACGAAAATAGTATAAATGACAATTTATAGATTTTTCAAAAAAAAAAAAAAAAAAATTTTCAGAATTTTATAAAATTTCACTACAGCAGCCGGAACAGCTTTAAACTGGAGCAGCTGTTCTACTATAGGCAATCCTATTACACAGATATCCCCTGTACATCCTGACGTGTCCCAAAGCGTTCTCGAGCAAGATCAGGAAGGACAGTATAGCTCCCTGTACGACGTGCCTTCGTCATTCCGGTGTTTACACCAGAAATACGAGTGCCGGATCGCTCCCGGTATTTAATGTGTATACAGCGGCTTAAGGCGGTGGAGTGCCGGTCCCAAGGATTTCTAATAGAGTCTTATTTTTGTTTGCCCCTTCGGTCTTACCCGACAAAGGGATTTACGTGTGGAAGAACCGTTTCGGAATTAGAGTCAAGAGGCCCCCCACCCACCACCCTTTAACCCCCACCCCCGTTACTCGTCGACGACGACGCCGGCGTCGCCGTCGCCATCGCGCTCCTCCTCCATCCAATGTTTGCACTAATTTCCCTGCTTTCGCTTTCAATCTCACGACCCTTGCTCTCTCGCTGCCGTATCCGACCAACGGTAATGGGAAACGGGGATGGCATAGGAGAAAGACGAAGTCGAAGCGAGTAAGAGAGTCCGGGGAGAAAAAGAGAGAGAAAAGGAACAGGGAAAGCCTGAATCCGATTCTTTGGCAAACAAGTTCGAGCTCTATTTACTTAACCCTGGCTCTTTTGGCAGTGGGCACAATTTTGCCCATGGGAAAGCATTTACACCCCTGTCCATCCAAATAGTACATACCTAGCGTGTAGATGTATATATACAGATATACATATGGCACAAAATAATAGACAGTCTCTTAGTAGCCACTCGACTAGCTTATGACCAGTTTTCCTTTTCTTTCCAGACTAAGCATATAGATGTTAATAGAGGAGGGGGGGGGCGGGAGGGGGGACTGACAACCAGGTGGAGGAGGCTTATTAGCTATAAAGGGTTCGAGGATCAGGAAGGCATTTTCTGGGCTCGTGCACAAACTGGATCGTTTCTCGAGGAGTCCTTAGAGGCAGGAGGAAGAGGCTTCGACCGTAGGCGAGCCATAGAGCACGAATGTACGAGGCACGTAGGTTGCCTACACGTGGTAGCTAGGTAGGTAGTTAGGTAGGTATGTGTCGCGGTTAGCGAGAGGAGTGCACACGGAGGGTAGAAAAAAGAAATGGCCCTGACAAAAGTGGGGCCCTGGGGGCACATTGCACACCGCGGCGCACCGGCATTGACATCGGCCCCGGGTAAGAAGGACTAGATTTCACGAGCCAGCGATGCCAGGATCCTTCAAAGGGACCGACGGCGGCCGCAAAAAGGATTCGCAAAAAGGAGCAGGAAAAAAGGAGCCCGGTTTACTCCCGGGTTAGGAGTTATGCTGGTGACGGGTTCGCTTGCTCTCTCTCTCTCTCTCTCTCTCTCTCTCTCAAACTCATTCCCTCCATCTCCTTACGCACTTCTCTAACACAGGATCCATCTCGCCACTAACCACTCGGCATCCTCGGTAACCCTGCTGCCAATCCCTCAAACCACCTTTTGGGCCCCAATTCTTCGGGGCCCTTCCTGGCTCTAATAGAGGAGACCAGCTCTTATAGTTGACGCTGAAAACCAACGCGATAACTTAATCCTGGATTATAATGGACGGTACTACCGAATCTCTTAAGGAAATCGGATTCGCCTTCCATCTGCTTCCTAAGTTGAATTGGGATACTCGTTGACGCGGCTACCGCACGCCTTAGTTTTCTAGGTTATGATTCTTGCTACCCATTGCGGATAATGTGCTTCTGGTTAGTTTAACGATACGATGGTTATTGTTAGTCCGGTTATCGCGTTGCGATTATATAGATGCACTGTTGCTTGCACTTAATTATTCTCCTATGCACTATGGTTAATCTTAGGTGCTAGTAAGTAAGTAATTGGTTTCATTGGCGTTACGTACAGTACTTACAAAGCCGTGCTTGTCGCTGATGTTGTTCGTGAGCTTGAGCTTGTGAAAGCTCACGACCTTCTGCATCCACTGTTCGCCACTGCTCGGCGAGTCCGGATGTATGTACATCCTCTTCGGCATCTCGGGATCCGCCTTGCCTGCCACCATCCACCTGCTGTGTGTTTGGACGTACAGGGAAATAAAAGGAAACATATTAGCACGGAGTCACACGATTTTCGGACTTATGATTTATACGGAAGTTAACGTGCACTTATCGAGAGCGAAAAGAATTATTCGAGTGGTAATTTTGAATATTCTTGGTGTTTAGGGAAAACACGTGGGTTTCTCAATTTTTTTTTTTTAACAAGTTTGACATAATTTTGAAAATAACAATTAGCTAGCCCACAGCCATCCTTATGCTGATATTCACTGAAAGGGAATCATCTTCGAATTCGCCGGCGAACGTGAAGGCTTGCGTTCCCCATACAAGTCGAAGTCTTTTTTTTTTGTATTCTCTTCCTGTATTCACCGTGATAACGTGTCATTGACGTGAATTGGATTCGCCATAAGAGATACCCATGGAATAGCAGAATGTTATGGAAAAATATTTTTTAAAAAATTTCGAGCACCGAAAGCTCTTCGATCGAGGGATACTATATGGTGGACCATTAAAAAAAAAAATGTACTCGACGAAAATTTGTTCGTCAATTCAAATTACTTTCAACGAGTATGAGGAATTGTTCGCAGCGCACGCTTCACGCCTTTAGTTATATATTATATATATATATTTTTTTTTTATGAACTCGAAGCGTTTCTCACATTTACTTTTTTTCCCGTTTTTTTTTTCACTTTTTGTTTTCGTCCACTTAATACCGAACCAACCGGACCGAGAATTCATAAACGATCGATTCTCTTATCCCGTATACAAGTAATTGGATGTGTGTTCGTACAGCGAATCTCGTAAAAATTTGTTGTAGAAAATTTTTTTTTAATTTTGAAAAAAAAGAGCGATTCTCACGTCGGGAATCCATTGGAACGAGGAACTCTCGATCGGTCGAAAAAATTAATCAGGTTCTGATAATAATCACCTGTTGTGAAACTTATATCGGCACTCGTCTGATGCCACGATGTCCATTAGTAGAATGTAGCTAGCCTGTCTGTCTAAACCGGACACCCTCACTTTATATGCGGGAAACATGCGTCTGCGAACAATTTGCAATTGCAAAGGCAAACGGCCTGCATTAGTCCTTCGTTCACGGCCAAAATTATATACGCCAAGGTATGCGTATATCATATACAAGATAACATACACGTCCGATATACATATATATACGAACGAGCCAAGGACACGTGTTATTCACGTAACGCATTCTGATAAGTGAGGGAGAGCATATAAGCACAGTGGGCAGTTCGAAATCCTAGAAGTAAAAAATTTTTCCAAAAAACAAAAAATTTTTTTTACAAATTTTTAAAATTCATTTTTCTCCCTTATTTCGAGCTACCCTTCTCTCTCTCACTCGCTCTCTCTCTCTCTCTATTCCTTTCGCCTCTTCGCGTTCCTTCCGTTTCCATAGGTTGGTGTACCTGTTGTGAAATTTGTATCTGTAGTCGTCAGCCGCCACGATGTCCAGCAGCAGGATGTACTTGGCTTTGGCGTCCAGCCCGGAAACACGGAACTTCATCTGAGGAAACATCTGCCTAGATCCCCGAGCAACATTTACATTCCAATTAGATATCCATTTTTTTTTTCCATTTTTTTTTTTTTCTTTTTTTTCGTTCAGTACACCCAACACACCGTTCAAGCGAGTCGTTAAGATCGATATCAGATTACGAGATTCGACTGCGATGGGCATTTAACGAAAAAGGCCCCGATAGCCATGAACTACATACAATTAACGCACGTTATCGATAAACACACGCGCGAGTCAGGCAGAATTTAAGGATTCGAAAGATCGATAATAAGAGCGATAAAACCGAGTCACGGTAATTCGGCCAGGCAGACATAACAAGATAATAAAATTGCTATAGGTACCAGACGATTGAGAAAGTTCAATGCATTTGACATCGATTCAACGGCAAATAAGACCACCCTGTATAAAAAATCAATGACTTTTTTTTTATACCATGGCTAAATTGTTTTATTTATCGTTCGCGCGCAACGACGACACGAGTAAACTGTAACGCGACACCGTCGAGCCTGATTCGACCAACAATACACAATTGGAATCGTATTAGCGTTCTTGAAATCCCGTAACACGTGTGTCGACACAGTCGATTGCAATTTTTAATGTATCCGCGGAATCGAGCGATATAGCCCCCTATCTCCCGTTACCACCCCCCAGCCCCCTCCCACTCATAAAAACACTCTAGCCAAAAGTATATACTGGGATATGCTGTGTACTATGTATATACATATAATAGGTGTCCATGTGGTTAGTTGGCGAACGGGTCGCATGAGCACACGTGTAATACCACCATAAAGCATACGTTCTACCACGTACGGTAATATGTTATCATAGTTTACGAGTGGCTATCACTATCATGTACATAGGGCATGGATGAACTATGATGCACCATGGTGGCAAACCGTGTACGCTATATATATATATATATATATATATATATATATATAGTACGTACATGTATAATATTCCGTATGAGAGCATCGATAGATACCATATGTAGAGTGCGCTGGTATTTATATGGTCAATGTATATTTACATATACGTATACTATGTATAGGAGCTACAGTATCCAAGGGCCACCATGATACTAGGTACTGATTACCATGTAGTCACGATTCCTGGCGCACATCGTAATATCGGAGAACCCTGTGTCGGGGGTATTTATTTTTTTATGATTGCAAACTTTTTACATACTGCCAACTTGAACGCGCGATAGAGATTACACGGACGATTTTGGAAAGACAGAAGGAATTGTAGGTCGGATGGACAGTGAAGTTTGGATGGTACGTTTGCTGTTGTATGCTAATGCGAATCGGGCCCCGAACGATGGGCCCTATAGGTGAAGTCCAATTACGGTAATTAGGTGTCATAAACGTGTCGTTTGGGGACTCGGAGGGCGTGAGACAATGCTGCCGTAGACAGACCTAATGAAGGTGCCTCGAGTGGTGGGGATCTAGGGCCCAACAGGCCCCGAATTGCCGTTCAATTACAATAATGGGATTACTGGAATCCGGGGCCCCGTCTAGGAAAAGGGCATTTGGCTTCTACGAGAGAACGGCCTAGCGCCGTCTAACGTTTAGACTACAGGAATTGCCCTGGCTAACTGGATATTGAAAACGTTTTACGTATACGAGTAAGTCCCTGCGGGACTTGCCAAGGCTCGAAGGAGACTCGGTCGTCGGTACTCTGTACTGAGTATCGATAATCAGTATAGATCCTTGGATTTTGATCTGACGAAAAAAAAATGTACTATTTCGATTGATCCGATGAATGTATCCTGGAACTTTGAATCTCTTATAAAAACGTCCAATTTTCTAGGGATCCCATACGATCTTTCTGGACCTCTCGCAGCATCTGTTCGCCCCACTTGGAATTTTGACCAGTACGGTGAATGAGAAAAAAAGAGAATCAAAATAGATAGGTGCTCGCACTCGCTCACGGTAAATGAAGAATGTAAGCATTCATCGGCAGGACACTCGGAGGCTTCTAAGCCGGATCATCCTCCCAGCGAGAGCCAAATACATCCTGTGGGATACTTTTGGTTAAATGCATGGGAAATGGGAAGTGGGAAAAATTGACCATCCCCTTAGGATAATTTTCCATTTTCTTCGAGATATCGATACCCCGATATATTTAAATATATTGAATTCAATTTTAGCGAAATATATGCTGATTACGCCATACGGATTCTTAGAGGTACATTAAACATGAAATTGTATACGAAATGTCGCACTGGAACACCCTGTATATTGGTACGTAACCAAGATCCACAAACCATTCATCCCTCTTCCTCTTCTTATATGTATATTATACTGCGACTGCCTACGAGTCGTCCCGTTGTGGTTGAAACAAATCGAACGACTGACTTATACTACCGTTTTACGAGCGCCACTCTTTTTTCCCCTCTCTATCTGCTTCACCCGTACGCGTCCCGCAGGTCTGATAGGGCTGTTACGCATCTTCTTGGCCCTTAACCCTCTCTAACCCCTAACAGCATCTCTGGACACCCTTTAGGAACTACGAAATACCGTGCATGCCTCGGCCGAAAAGCGTGGAAAGGATTTTAGTTTTAACGGTCGTTTTCGTGAGATTAGAGGAATCCAAGTCGGTCCTTCAGAGGAAGGAAATGGATGAGAAAGAAAGATATATTTGTTAAAACAAAAAATAGTACCCTCGTAAACTTCGTTAGGTAACATTAAAAAAGTAAGTAGATTAAAGAAGCTCGCAATATCTATAACTCGCTCATAGACAAATTCTTAATTTGAAGATCGGCATTAGATATTTGGACTTTTCTATACCTGCCGCGAGTGCGAGAGAGACGGGTTTACGGGCAGTCGCATGGATAAGAGAGAGAGAAATGGTTCCAGAGAATGTAAACTTTGAAAAATTTATTTAAAAATTGCGAAAAAGTCTCACATCACGTAGCTACGATCTTTAGTATCGCGCAAGTAAAGCGCAGAGGCAGCCAAAGAGTATTCAAAGAGACACGCAAGCGCCTATACATTTTGCAACGATGTAAAAGAAGCGGAAGTGATATCGGCGCCCAATACCTCGTGACCACGGCTCATCGGTCCGCACTTCCGGCAGACCCGTGAACTTAGGGATTTTTACTTGACGCCAGCTACTCGAAATTTACAACACGGTACATACCGACGCTACTGATTTCAACATGTAGAATGTCAATTAAAAAAAAAGAAGCTCGAAAACAAAAAATTAATTAATTTATTTGAAAACTCGACCAATACCCTTAAGCTTCACTGGTAACGCATCGGGTGTCCAAAAAAACCCCAGGTTACACAGCAACACGAAAAAACAGTAGCGTAGTCTCGTAAATATAATAAGATCGTCGAGCGAAATATATTTAGATCTAGATTGCAAGATGAAGAGGGAGAGAGAGGGCGAGCGAGAGAGAGAGAGAGAGAGAGAGAGAGTTGCTGTGAGGATTTCAGGGACGTGGCAGATTACTGATGGATGTAGGCAAAAAGGAGAAACGTGATCAAAGGAGAGGCCCCGGGAAAGACTAGGGCTACGCAACGTTGAGGCAAACCGAGTAAATAAGCTGGCAGCCATTAAAGAGATCTTCCCGACGATTCAATTTTCTCCATGCAGCATCGCCTTATCCTTCGCGTTTCAATGAGAGTGAGAGAGAGTGAGAGAGAGAGAGAGAGAGAGAGAGAGAGAGAGAGAGAGAGAGAGAGAGAGAGGCTAAGATTACCGATATACCTATATACACGTGCATAACAGGATTTCCAAAGGACGGATCCCTTTCGCTAACAATGTAAGACCAAGGTATAATAAACGTTGTCCAGGACTCACCAAGATGAGGATAACGATCTTCACGGCGAGAAGGTATAAGGTACCCATATAAAATCGAAGCCCGATTCTAATTTACGACGCGCCATTACGCGAGCGCTCTCTTAAGAATCCGGAACCCGGTAGCTTTAAGTTAATTTATTTTATCGTAGCCTCCCGTGACGTGCGATGATTTGCGCGTATCCTCCTGTTCCCTCGGATACTTTTAATCGATCGATTGACCAAGCGTGCACAGCACACGCTACATCTACGTACGGAGAATCGAAAAAGTAGCGTACCTGCTCGAGTATACTCGAATCGAGTGGCCCGATAAGGCCCAGAATGACTTTGAACATGGACACCCGTTGCGGATTCTCGATTGCAAGTACGAGAGGGACTCCGGCGTCGGTTCGACGTAAGAGAGTTTATTGCGCGATGGCGGGACACAAATCCTGACGAAATGGCACAGGGGAACGAGGAAAGAGCCGAGAATAAGGTATAAGAGCCAATAGGAGACAGGTGGAAGGAACGAGGAGGAGGACGGAGGAAGAAGGTGGAGGAAGGAGGAAGGAGGAACGAGGTGGAACGAAGGCGGTGCGCGCGCGCGTCCCGTCCAGCGTCCTGGACTCTTGTCGAACAAATCGGTACAAACGATCGTCGTAAAGCAGTTAAGGCCGGGTTTATATGTGCCTTTCGCTTTTGAGCATCGGACGCACCGGTGGGATCCGAGGAGCGGGAACCGAGGGAGACCCGAGTGGGAGAGATGAGCCTACCGATATGGAAACCGATAGGGCCCGACTCTCACCACGAAATCCTCCCGTAGTCCTGTGGCTCTGTCTCTCGGTACCCCGAGGACCCCTGCAGGGAACCTTTTACCCGGTAAAACGCACAATTTCAAAGTTACGTCCTTCGTACTTGATCCGCGTGAACCTTAAAGCGTGAACCTTAAAGTCTGGTCGCGGGAAGACACGCTTCATTTTTCGCCTGTAAAAAGTTACTGCCTGTCTCCGTGGTCTTCCTACCGGATATCGGTATCCCTAAATGAAAGAATCGACAGGACGGATAGACAAAAAGTAAACACGAGTAAATCGTAGATAATTAATTGCTCGCACGTTTCGATGAAGAGTTAAAATATGTTTAAGGACGGTGACTGTGTAGTCGGTACCTGTACGGACGGTCGTATAGCTGGTGCCGGGAGATTTGAATAATTGGTCATGGCGC